TTCTTTTAAATAATATAGGAAATAAAAGGCAGAGTTCCAAACCAAATATTCAATAATGCTGCCTTCTGTATTTGCCCATGTATTTAACTTTACCAGAGATATTGACTTCTTTTTATGGCTTTAAGTTACTATCTAGGGTCCTTTCATTTTAACCTGAAGAACTCCCTTTAACATTTATTGAAGTACAAGTCTAGTAGTATCAAACTCCGTTAGCTTCTTTTATTTATCTAGGAATATTTTAATTTCTCCCTCATTTTTGAAGGATATTTTGCTGGGTATAAAATTCTTGGTTAATAGTTTATTTCTTTTGAAACTTAAATATGTTATCTTATTGCCTTCCAGTTTCCAGGTTCTGAAGAGAAATCAATTTTGCATCTTATTGAGGATCCCTTGTACTTGAGAGATTGTTTCTCTCTTTCTGCTTCAAGATTTTCATTTTGTCTTTGGCTGTCCACATCTTGTTTATGTCTCATGTGGGCCTTTTTGAGTTTTTCCAAATTGAAGTTTGTTGAGCATCGTGGATGTGTTATTCATGTCTTTTGGCAATTTTGAGAAATTTCAGCCATTATTTATTCAAATTTCTTTCTGCTTCTTTATCTTTCTCTCTCTTTTACTTCTGGGACTCCCATAATGTGTATATTGGTCCATTTGATGGCGTCTCTTAGGTTTTGTTTACTTACTTCATCCTTTTTAAATTTCTGCTCCTCAGACATAATAATTTCAACTGTCATGTTTCAGGTTTCATCATTTTTTCTTCTACCTGTTCAGATCTGCTGTTGAACTCTTCTAGTGAATTTTTAATTTCAGTTATTTTACTTTTAAATTCTAGTATTTCTGTTTGGTTACTTTTCACAATTTTTCTTTTTTGATATTACCATATTTTTCATACATTTATTTTCTTATATTCTTTATATTCTTTAGTTCTTTGTCTGTGTTTTACTTTGAACATATTTAAGACAGTACTTTTTTGTCTTTGTCTAGTAAGTCTGATGTCTGGACTTCCTCAGGAAGAGTTTGTCAATTTTATTTGTTACTGTAAGTGGGCCATACATTCCTGTTTCTTTTTATGCCTTGTGCTTTTGTTGTTGTTGTTTTTGAAAACTGTTTTAATTATGATGTGGTAACTGGAAATAAGATTCTCCCCCTTCCCCATATTTAGCTGTTTTCTGTTGTTGTTACTTTATTTGATGATGGCTATAGTAGTCCATTTTTTTAGTTGTTTTAACCAAACTATTTGTGCAAAGACTGTATTCTTTGTCATATGTGATCACTGAAGTCTGCGTGGATCTTGTTCAGCTAATATTTTGACAGGAATTTCCTTGAGTGCCAGCAGTTAAAAGTAAAAAACAACAGTAGCAACCAAAAAACCCACATATCTCTCCCAATCTTTGAACATTGGCTCTGTGCTGAAGCACTCCTTCAACACTTAGCCAAACTGGCACTTAGCTCATGTATCAGTCTGATGTGCAAGCTTTGGGTCTTCTCCATATTTTTCTAGTCATGTGTCTTTCCCTGGACATACATGGGTCTTTCTAAACTGCCCCCATATATATTGGTGCTTTTGAATGTCCTAATTTCCCAAAGAATCTTCTCCAGCTTTTGATCGAGACTTAAGCAGTCATTATATGTCTCCACCCATAATTTCTTGTCCCAGGCATCTCTGGTTTATTAGTTTGCTTTGCAAAACATTTTAACAAATGCCCACTCATTTTCCAGCCTGCATTCTGAATTGAGTGAAACAGAGATGAGCACCTTGTATCTGTCCTTCAGATAACAGGTTAAAATAGACATACACAATAATTTTTGAGTAAGTTTTGCTTAGCTCACTCTGGTCCTAGGGGTGAGAGTTTCACACTAGGAACTCAGGCTGCTGCTACTTTAAGACTGCCTTCACTTTAGGACTGTTGCTGGGGAGAGGGGTGAAGTAAGGGCAAGTAAAAAATGGCACAAAGCTTTCCTATCATTTTCAAGATGCCTTTTTCTTGGTTCAGCATTTGCTTCATTGTTGTAAATGTTTGACTATTTCCCAGAGTTCTGACAACATTGATTCCTACAGTTTCTGTTTGTGTTGCTACACTTAGGAGGGAATGAAAGCTCAGAGCTGCTGCCTCCTCCATATCCCTGATGTCCTCTGTCATTTTTAATATATTGATTCCAACATCTCTCTGGGTGTCCCTGTGCACCAGAAGATCAAAGCATAATGAAAATTAAGGATATTTTAATTATAAAATAAGTATAAAGAAAAAAGACAGTTTTTTGTTGAGCCAGGCCTGAAAGATGCATACATCATTTTAACCATATTCCATTGGCTAGAAATTAGGCACACGTCCCTACAGACTTGTGTGGTGTTAGAAAATGTTGACAAGTGGTATTCCCAGGAAGAAAGGTGAATGAGTTTAGTGAACAACCAACCAACTTCTCCCACAACAAACAAATAACTAATATCCCTTGTTAAGTAGAGTTGTGTCTTTGACAAAGAGCCATGATATAACAGGCAGGAGCCTTGTTCCTACGTTAGAATGCCAGAGCTGGAAGAATATTTAGAGGCCATTTATTTTAATATACTCAGGTGTTGGGGACTCTGATGCTTGGAAATGGAGAGAGGCTAGCCAAAGTTACACTGAGTCAATACCAGACCTGAGACAATATCCAGCTGGATCACTCATCTCTCCTCTATACCACCTTTATTCAAACATGTTTGAGCATTTCTGAGAGTAAGATTCAATCTTAAAATATTGTATATTTCTAGAAATGTATCCACTTTTTCTTGGTTGTCCAATTTGTTGGCATATAATTGTTCATAGTATTCTCATGATTATTTGTATTTCTGTGATATTGTCTGTAACTTGCACAGCAAAGCACATCGACAAAACAAAAAGGCAACTTACTGAATAGAAGAATATGTTTGCAAATGAAATATCCACTAAGAGGTTAATATCCAAAATATACAAATAACTCATAACAGTCAACATCAAAAACACACAAACAACCGAATTAAAAATGGGCAGAGGACCAGAATAGACATTTTTCCAAAGAAGACATATAGATGGCCAACAGACACATGAAAAGATTTTCAACATCACTAATCATCAGGGAAATGCAAATCAAAATCACAATGAGGTATCACCTCATACCTGTCAGAATGACTATCATCAAAAATACAAGAAATAACAAATGTTGGAGAGGATGTGGAGAAAAGGGAACCCTCATGCACTGTTTGTAGGAATATAAATTGGTACAACCATTATGGAAAATAATATAAATGTTCCTCAAAAAATTAAAAATATTACTACCATTTGATCCACAAATTCCACTCTTGGGTATTTATCTGAAGAAAATGAAAACACTAATTCAAAAAGTTATATGCATCCCAGTTTCATTGAAGCATTATTATTTTTTTTTTTTTTTTTTTGCGGTATGTGAGCCTCTCTCCCGTTGCGGAGCACAGGCTCTGGATGCACAGGCCCAGCGGCCACGGCTCACCGGCCCAGCCACTCCACGGCACGCGGGATCCTCCCGGACCGGGGCACGAGCCCGCGTCCCCTGCACCAGCAGGCGGGCTCCCAACCGCTGCGCCACCAGGGAAGCCTGAAGCATTATTTTTAATAGCCAAGATGTAGAAGCAACCTAAGTGTCCATCAACAGATGAATGGATAAAGAAGATGTGGTATATATATATATACACACACACACACACACACACACACACACACACAATGAAATATTACTCGGCCATAAACAATAATGAAATCTTGTCATTTACAACAGCATGGATGGATCTAGATGGTATTATGCTAAGTAAAATAAGTCAGAGAGAAAGACAAATACAGTATGTCTTCACTTATATGTGGAATCTAAAAATACAAAACAAACAAATAAATGTAACAAAACAATCACAGATGTAGAGACCAAACTAGTAGTTGCCAGAGAGGAGAGGGGTGGAGTAATAGGTGAAATCAGACAGGGAAAAACAAATACTATATGTTTTCATTTATATGTGGAATCTGAAAAACAAATAAACAAATATAACCAAACAGAAACAGGCTCACAGATACAGAGAACAAACTAGTTGTTGGCAGAGGAGAGGAGTGTAGGGGTAAGGGCAAAATATTAGCTTGGCCAAAAAGTTCGTTCAGGTTGTTCCTAACATCCTGCAGAAAAACCCAAACGAACTTTTTGGACAGCCCAATAGGTGAAGGGAATTAAGAGGTACAAACTACCAGTTATAAACTGAATACACCACAGAGATGTAATGTACATCACAGGGATTACAGTCAATAATATAATAACTTTGTATGATGTGTAATCTATAAAAATATTGAATCACTGTGTTGTACTCATGAAACTAATATAATGTTGTGAGTCAACTATAGTTCAGTAAAATGTAAGAAATAAAATTTTCATCACAACCCAACACATACTTACATATTTCATCTGTAAAACTTCTACAAAACAATACTAAGATAGGTAGTGATTAGCGTTCATTGTCAAATATTTCCAGTTTCCCAGCTCTGGCACACTATAGAATTATACTTTCTTTTACTTTTATAGTTACTAATGATCAGGTGATGTGTGTGGTGAAGGACGTGAGCAAAATGAAATGAGTTATTTCTGGGGGAAGATTTAAGAGCCAGTGCACAGATCACAATATTCTCTTTTCTCTGATGTTCCAATCATGGTAGCACAAAGATGAAACCTCCATCACTCTGGGTAACCCAGTAAGTATAATGTAAAACAGAGCCCCCAGGAAATCTCTGGTAAGCAAACTGGTGTGAGTGAGAAATACATTTTTGTTCTTTTAAGACACTGAGGTTTGGAGTTTACTTTTTTACCATAGCATAACCTAAACTATGCTGACTGTAAATTGATGTCATGACTCAATAATGGGTTGCAACTTGCAGTTTATAAAATGCTACTCCATACAATGTCCACTTGTCCCATAGCTAATCCTCTCTCCAAGTTTCTGTAGAGTAATGTTAGTGACTCCCATTTCACTGAAGGATTGTGGTTATGGAGAAGGTGGAGATGCATACTGCACAGCCTGCCCTCCCCGCAGATATAAAAGCAGCTGGGGCCACCATAGATGTCAGACTTGCATCACCTGTGCTGTCATCAATCGTATCCAGAAGGAGAACTGTACAGCTACCTCTAATGCCGTCTGTGGGAACTGTCTGCCCAGGTGAGCCTGCTATATAAGGCCAAGCTCTTCTGGGCATTCTCTAGCCCTTGGAGGTCTCCCTCATCCTTACCTCTCAGGGCCTAGTTGAAGTATTCTAACTGTCCATATCATGATGAGTTTAAGATCCCCTGAGTGAGAAGCAATATTTTTTTAAGATCCCCCTATAAAGTACTTAGCACACAGTCAATTACAGATGAGTACTAAACAGCTGTTTCATCATGATGGCACGCTTAGCTCAGGCCCAAGTTTCAAGGTAAATCTCACTGTAGACCTAGAAGAGATTAGGAAGCAGTTGGTGTCAAAGCAGTGTTTCCTTCTCTTATGAGACTAGTTCCCCTTTTGGTTATAGGGTTTGGTGAATGGGGGAAGAGGTGGAGTGTCTGGGACTCTGAGTCAGAATCAGACATAGAGGCAGAGAACTCACGAGGGGTCACAGTGAGTGATGGCTTCCTGGAGGGCAAGACTCTTAGAAGCTGCTTATGGTTCAAGAAGGACCAATCCAAGTACATTGCTTGTTTGATCATCTTGCCATTTTTTATTGCTCTGACTACAGGTTCTACCAAAAGACACGTATTGGAGGCCTGCAGGATCAAGAGTGTATCCCATGCACGAAGCAGACCCCCACCTCTGAGGTTCAGTGTGTGTATCCAGTTCTCTTCTCACCTTTCCCCCCCCAATCCATTGGGTGACAACAAGACAGCATAGTAAAGACTTCCCCTACCCCCTCATACTCCTTCCTATAGGGTAGATTGGCAAGGGAATTGGTTAGATTTGAGTAATAGTTTTGCCATATATTATCTGTGTAACCTTCTATAAATTATTGAATCTCATTGGACCTCATTTCCCTCACCTGAAAAAAATGTAAGTCGTGAAAATCACTGTTCTTCATACCTTACGGGATGCTGCCTAGTTCTAGTGAAATAAGAGGTTAGAAAACAATTTTGTAAATTATAATATTTGTACACTTGTGTATTATTTATTTGAAGTTTATAGGAGTCCCTAATGTTTAGGACTAGTAAAAGGCTGAATAAAGTACTAAGATCTAGTCTGTGCCCATATCACTATCCATTTATCTATCATTTTTGTCTATCTACCAACTATATGTCTTCTCACTTATTTTTTTTAATTTATTGATATCTTTTTAAAACATGAAGTATTTAAAATATGTAGAAATATTTTAAATGCAGAAAAATATAAAAATAAAAATGCTCAGTTACACAGCATCAATGATTAATAAATCTTAAAATTTTGCATATTTGCTTCAGATTTCTTTTTAAATGAAGATTCCACAAGTTTAATGGAATTTGTGTTTTGATCCTTTCTGAGTTCCATTCTCTCGTTACCTCCCCAGAGGCAACCACTATCATGAAATTGTGTGTATCTTGTTGGTAGGCTATGCTACAGTAACAAACCCCCAAATCTCAGTGATTTCATGCAATAAAAGTTTATTTTTCATATGCAAAGATCTTACTCTATCTTGTAACTATATCATCAAACCATGTGGCTTCCAGGTTGATGGGACAGGGTAAGAGATAGAGGAGACATACTGGCTTTTAACTACTTCAGTCTGCAAGTGACACACATTTACTTCCACTCACAGTCCATTGGCCAGAAATACTCTTATGGCCTTACTACAAGGGTGTATGGGAAATGCAGAGAAACATGTGGATAACTTGTGAGCACTATGACTCTGCCATACTCTCCACCCATGTTTTGATACTTGTATTCATTATATATATATATATATATATATATATATTCATATGCAATATATTCTATATGCTATTTTTTATATTTTATAATGTTTTATATAAATGATATCAAGTTATATACTCTCTCTCCAATTTGTTTTTCCTCTCTGGATTATTTAAATTGATCCATACAGGTCTTTTATTTTAAATGCTATATAATAATATTACATCATAGAATTATATCATGATTTATTTATCCTGTGCCCTACTGATGAACATTTTAGTTTGTTTCTATTTGTCTAGGTTATATAACTGAATGTGACACAGAAAGACCACAGGATATGTGCATCTTCAAATAACTATACTAATTTATACCATACAGGCAGTATATGCTAGTTCCTCCACTTTTTGTTCTTTATACTTTTCTCTGCTCTACAAAGAAGTAGAACCAGTTTAGCAGCCCTAGTTGAGGAAGACCCTGGGGAGAGGGTGCTTTCCTGAGGAAGTCCAGGCCCAGTGTCAGGGTGACTATTGACTACCTACAGTGACTGACCTTCCCTACTTTCTTGTTTCACAGGTGCCTTCCAGTTGAGCTTAGTGAAGGCAGATGTACCCACAGTATCCCCTCAGGAGGTCACACTTGTTGCACTGATGAGCAGTCTGCTCATGGTGTTTACCCTGGCCTTCCTGGGGCTCTTCTTCCTCTACTGCAAGCAGTTCTTCAACAGAAATTGCCAGCGTGGTAAGGGTAGCTGCTTCACGTATTACATGAATCAGGAACAAGGCTCTAACTAGCAGAAGAGAGGAATTTCCTGGGGTTGAGAGTTAATGGACCTTCCCTACAGTGCTGAAATATCTGGGGTGGCAATAGAATGCACAGGACTTCACAGGTGATTGAGGCTGACCCTATGAGTTTATAGGACCTGGTTCTTTAAGGTGTGTTGATTCATAAAGGGCTACAACATTATGGGAAACCCTTGGGAAAGGCATCTGAAGTCCTCGTCCAATCTACCTCTAAATCACTGTGTAACTTTAGATAAGTCATCTAGCTTCTTTGGGCCTCTTTCTCTTTAATCTTTAAAATGAGAGATGGAGTTGATTTCTAAGTTCTTTTCCAATTAGTTATATCTACTAATAGGTATAGATTCTGGAGCATGTCCGGAAAAGAGGAAGGCTGGCTGGAATAAGACATGACTATAATTAAAGTGGGTGAGGTCTCAGGCAATGGTTATCAGTATAGTAGTATACCAAATGTGGTAACTGAGAGCCCAATGTCCAGAGGAATTGGCAAACTTAGACATTTTTCCTCAGACAATAATGATAACCAGAGGTCTGGCCCAGCCCATAGGAGATGGTCATGTGAAATTTTAGATGGAATGTCATATTTAAAATCAGGAGTAACATCATGATCTATTTTCAGCACAAGTCCAGCCATTAGCCAAGAATATGAGACAAGAATGCCAGGTCACTGAGGGCAGATATAGGGGAGGTGGGATGGTGGATGGCCAAGACCAGAGAAGGGTTTAGATCTTTAGTCAATAGTACTGAGGTTCAGTGCAGCTTCAGTGCCATCAAGGGAGCTGAGAGCTGGACAGAGACACCAAAATAGGAACCCAGGCCAGTAAGTGGAGTTGATTTAGTAAGGAAAGAGGAGGATACATTCTACTAGATACACAGGTGCTAAGGACTCCTCCTCAGCCCACTGGATATTGGGTCCAAAGCAACACAACTTTTTTCAACCTCTCTGTTTGTGTGGAAAGATTCTGCTTATATAGGCCTACCTTGGTCATTTTGGATCTAGGGTCTGCCAGATGATCTTCAAAAAGCTTAGAAGATATGTTTGGCTCTACCTCTCACTTAAGTTGAGGTGAATCTAGGATTTCAGGGGATGCAGGGCACAAGGGCAACACTGTTATCTCTTTATGACCCTTCTCAAACTCTAATTCTCTCTCCTCTACTCTCTGGTGTCTCCTGGAACATTGTGGCTCAGGGTGGATCATCCTGTCTCTGACTTTGGAGGCCAGTTTTTCAGATAAGAGCTGTTGCCCAGTCCCTGGGCATGGGCATGAAACATGGGAAATGAAGCATTTGGGCCCCAGGGCCCGGAAAGAAGAAGATGAGGCAACATCTGAGAGCTGCCTGTCTCCCTCCTCCTGCCTCAGGAGAAGAGAAATGGGTAACGCTTCTCTGCTCCTCCTCTGTCCTCAAGATAATAATGCAGTACCCTTTTCTGGGGATACGAGGGCAGGCAGCTCCCTCAGGGTCTCCACAGGGGAAATAAGATTAGACATTTTCTCATTTATCAGGAGGTGTTTTTCAGGAGTCACTGACTTACATGAATACTAGGGTTGTATAAGGGAGATTAATATGTGAATTGGATCCAATATAATGTTCATTAGAGAGGAGTAGAGACTGTGGCAAACTGAATAGTTCATCCCCTGTCTAAAGAGGAATCTACTACTCAGTTTCAGCTGTTTGTTACCATATAGGAATATTCAATGTTTCAAGATCTTCTGAATTTTCAAGAGAAGCCAAAACTCTGGAGTTTTATATGAAATAGTTTTAAGTTATGGCAATGAGTTATAATTAAAAATTACCACAACCACAATGCAGGGGTCAAACAAACACACATCCCATAGGCTCTCAGTTTGTAAACTGATGTTGAATCAGACTTATGCATGAAAGGTGTTTTAATTTTCTAGCACTGCCAGAACAAATTACGACAAATTTAATGGCTTAAAACAACACCCATTTATCATCTCACCATTTCCATAGATCAGAAGCTTTGTAAGCTTGGCTGGATCTCGACTCAGAGTCGCACTAGGCTGAAATCAAGTGTTGCCGAGGCTGCATTCATTTCTGGAAGATCAAGAGGTTAATCCACTTCCTTGATTATTCAGAAAGGTGGAAGAATTCAGTTCCTTGCAGTTATAAGGTTGAGGTTCCATTTCCTTGCTGACTGTCTGCTGAGGACCATTCCCAGTTTCTAGACACCACCCACTCTTTGACTTATGACCCATTTCCATTTTCAAAACTAACAATGGTGGTCAAGTCCTTTTCCTTTCACATATCTGATACTCTCTCTGACTCTTCTGCCTCCATCTTCCCCTTTTAAGGACACATGTCATTACATTGGGCCCACCTGGGTAATCCAGGATAATCTATCTATTTTAAAGTCCATAATCTTAATTCCACCTGCAAAGTGCCTTTTGCCATATAACACAACATATACACCGGCATAACACCAGGGAATAAAGATCATGTCTGGTGTGGGGGTTGTTAAAATCCTGCTTCCCACAAAGGATTTCTCTTTATCTAGAGAAATTGACAATTTTCCCTGATCCACCACCAGGTAGCCTTAATCTGATACCCCAATGTAAATATGTTTCTCAACTGTGTCACCTCAGCCTGGTGCTAGGTGCTCTGGTCCCCAGGTATGGGAGGGGGAGCACTAGTTCCCAGATCTTTCCTGATTTTGTGCTCAGGACCAGGTGCCCCTCTAAGAGGAGCCCCTGCCTTTGGGTGACTCAGTGGCTTTCTACTTCAAGTTTCAGGAGGTTCGCTGCAGTATGAGGCTGACGAGGCAGTGGAAGAGGAATCTCTCTTCCCCATGCCACCTGGCCAGGAGACCAGTCCTGAGTCCCCACTGAGTGAAAACATCTTTGAGACCCAGGCACTTAACCCCATCCTGGATGACGACTGCAGTTCGACTCGTGGCTTCCCCACACAGGAGTCTTTTACCTTGGCCTCCTGTGCCTCAGAGAGCCACTCCCACTGGGTCCACACTCCCATCGAATGCACAGAGCTGGACCTGCGAAAGATTTCCAGCTCTGCTTCCTATACTGGAGCTGAGACCTTGAGGGGGAACACAGCTGAACGCTCTGGAGACAGACTGGAGCTCACTGTACCCTTTGAAGTACCCAGCCTTTTACTCTACTGAGGTGAGCTGGAAAGGTAGGGTAGAAAGACAAGAAATTGGGGACCACCCCCAAAAGGAATTATCCCTTGGAATACTGTTGTTCAGTAGGGCTAGTGTCAGAGGAACAGCAAGCTAGGAACACTGGTGGATGGAGGGACAACTGTGATAATGTTAATCTTTTGAGACAGTCAGTCATACATCATATATCTGGGCCAACAGTTGTCAAGGAACTGGCCAGGTTGACATGACACCAGTTTTTCTATCCTGGCCTTTTGCAATCTCTCTCAGGGCCCCACTGTCTAATAGTTATATTCAGTTATCTCCCATCATGTATTCAAGCACCAAGGTACAGTGGGAAAATATGCAAACCTTGGCATCTGGAAGCCTTATATTTCAAATCTACCTCCATTCCTTAATATTTGTGTGAAGGTTGTTTAAATCCCTTCACCTCTCTGAGTCTCAGGTCCTTAATATGTGAAAAGTAGGAAATACTATTCACCTTATATTGTGAGAGTTGAATGAGAAATGCATGTACAAGTACCTTTTACAGTGTCTAATGCATTAGAGGTGTTTAAACCATGTTAGTTTGCCCCCAGTCACAATTTATATTGGGCTGGCCAAAAAGTTTGTTCGGGTTTTTCCATAACGTCTTATGGGAAAACCCAAATGAACTTTTTGGCCAACCCAATACATCCTTACATATACACTACACTCGTCTGGTCTTCATAACATACCTTTATAGTAAGAAGGTTACACTTTATAGAGGCAGGAACTGAGATACAGAGAGGGAAAGTGATTTGCTTAAAGTCACAGAGCATTTCAGTGGCAGAACTAGGTAAGAGCCCAGGTTTTGGAGCTCTATGTAAGTAACAAGGGGCAGTATGAAGCATGAGGGTGGATTCCTATTTTTCAACTAACCAATTACTTTCACCACCCATTTCCATATTTCTCCAGCTATATTGTCCAGGTCCCCCAATGACACCCCCTCCCTATATCTTACCTAAGAAAATATAAACAATATGTAGGTGAACGCCAAGACTCCTATTAAACCAGTCATCCTAGATACCTTCAAGGTCATCTAGGCCAACCTCCCTTCCAACTCCTCCAATCCATGCTTGAGTCCCTTTTATAATATCCCCAAGAAGTGTTTGTGTCATCCTTGCTCACATACTTACAGTATCAGAGAGCTCACTACTGCCCAACATGTATTGCAGCTATGACTGGTGGATTTGAGCTCAATGTAAAGAAAACCTTTCTGTCTTCTTATAGTAACCACCCTTGGGTCCTGCTCTGCTCCTCAGGCCACACAGACCTCATCTGCTTCCTGTGTCTTGTGATAGCCCTGAAGAAGTCTAAAGATAGCATCTCCTATCTGGAAAGTACCACTTTGGTTTCCATTAAAGTATGGGGGGCTTAAAACTGAACCCAGTTTCATGATGAATTGTCTCACCAACATAGAGTAGGGTAGAACTGTCATCATGTCCACCCCACACAAGTGATGTTTTTCTGCTATTATACCTTAACCACTGGCATAAACCATTTTTTGAGGGATAGGAAGAGAAAGGAGCTAGTGAGATTGCCCCATAGGTTTCTAACTTGCTCTGCTCCCTCCCTAGGTCTCTTGGGCTCCTGGCATCCCAGTCGTTCTCCCTGGACTCTCCTGCCTTGTTCCTATACCACGACAGCAGCAGGGGCATAGGATGTGGTATCCACAACAGCCTGTACTCTACAGATGGGGCACATCCTATCCCCATCCCACCAAAGTATTGATTCTTCATCATTTTCCCAAGACTGACCAGCAGCATTTTTTGCTTTCCTATCCTAGATAGCTTGGAGAGCCAGATTCCCCAGTCATGGGACTACCAGACATGTTCTTAGCTCAGCTTGATTATAGAGGAGGGGAGGGGATGGCAATGAATGGGGTAGAGTTTTACTGTCTGCATCTTTGGTCAGGTAAACCTGAAGGAGGAGCCTCTCAGTACCCTATTGATACATCTGCCTAGCACTTTAGGGACAAAATCAAACTCTTCCCTCTTTCACTCCTCTGCACTGCCCCCCTCCCCAGTACACACACACACACACCTACACACATCTTAGGAGAGGCCTGAAACCTTGATTCCCCACACATCTCTTAGACTTCTGTGGCTGTGACAATCACAGAGCTAACCCCTTGGCCCCCTGGGGTCTTCCTCTCCACTTTTAGGTTTCTTACCTTCTTTAGTGGGGATACAACTAAGCATCTTTTTGACTCTTAAAATGGTACTTCCTAAAGTTCCTTTTATCTTATTTCTCTTCTTTTCTTGCCTCTTTTGTCCCTTCCTGGTACCTTGTCTTCTTAAGCCCAAGGCTGAGCCTCTAGATCCCAAGGACCAAACTCAGAGCTCAGAGCTTTCATCTTTGGGGTGACCATGAAATCCCTGATATCTAGTGGGGGACATTTAGGAGCTAAGGTTTTCAATGAAGCCTGCCCTAGGGCTGCTCAGGGACCACTGGTGCTTTCTTGGTTTAGAGAAAAGCAATCAATTGCTGAGCCCTCACCACCAGTTTCACATGCTTCTCAGAATAAAGTGTAACTTCTCTCTCCATGGCTGATGCCACAAGGCAGATGAGAACATCAAGGCTCAGATGTGGGCACCATGGATTGTTTTTAAGTCTCCCTTATGTCCATAATGGGCTAGTTGGGCTGATACCCACTTCCTCACTGTGGGTCAGATTTTGAAAGAAAAATTGCCCAGATAAATAGAGCAACTATCTCCTTTGTTTGGGAGCAACTTATATACTTCAAAATGTTGGATGTGACTTAATTTGTGAAAACCAAGACTGTGTCTTAAGGTGGGAATGCTGGAATTTACTACGTATATGTGCTACACTTTACAGTTTTCAGTGTGTATTCATAGCAATCATCTCATTGGATCTTTATACACACCCTGAGGTGGGCAGGGCAAGGATTACCATCCCCAGGTTGCAGATGATGAAACTGAGGCTCAGAAATGGAAGGTGACTGCACTCAGTAATGTATGGGGTAATTATCAAGGCTAGGGTCCTCTCCAATATCTTGAAATCTTCATTTTCTAGAAGACAGTGTTTTAAAGTAGTAGCTTTTCTGGCATATCTGTTCCATAAAGCAACTCTTTTTGGAAGCAAAAGGGGTGTAGGGACAAATAAGGCCTTTATGCCTGAATGTGAATAAGGTAATATCCTTGCCTACAATACCAAACCTATTCTCTCCCCCTCCCATCAGCTCCCCTACTCCCACCCTGTAGCCAGCATGGATGTATATTCTCTGCCAGATCTGACCCCAGTGGAAAGGTAAGAGACTTTCCATTCAGCACTGTCTCTCAAGAGATCAAAAAGTGAGAAGAGCTGCAAGGTCAGACAAAATTCTTTCTATCTGTATATCTTATCTCCTTTTGCCACTGGGGATAAGAAAGAAGGTATAAAGATTGGAGCCAGTAGGAGTATCCAGCCTACTTGTCCTCCCTCCTATATTCCTCTGTTCAATTTAAGAGTCTCTGATCTTAGTTTGGGCAATGACTTGAGACTTTAACTTTAGAGGTGGGAGGGGGACAAATATCCCATCTTTAAAAGCCTGTCCCAGGTAGATTACAGATATTTGAGCACATTTGTCAATTATAACACTTTAGTGTTTTACATTCTAAAAAAGTTCATTCATACATGCCTAATTTAAAGATGAGGAACCTGAGTCCTAGACAGGAGTAGTAACTTACCCAAAGCAATTCATATTTTGGAAAGGCAGCGTGCTCCACACTCCCAATCCCAGACTGAAGTGTGGGTTCCATGGCTGAGAATAGAGCCAGGGAAGGACAGTTTGAGCAGAAACTGCTCTTGGCTATGGCAGAAGGACAGGCAGAGATGTTGGAGGGCACTAGTTATTTCTATCCACTAGACACTGCCTAAATAACCCTTAAAATATCATTAAGGAACATAGGGAAGAGGAGGAGATTGAATAAGGCAATTCATCTCCACCACCAGAAAAAACAGCTGGCCCCATAGTCTAAGTGCTACGGAGGCAGCAGTGTAGTCTTCCACTGAAAAATAGCACATGACTTCATCCACATCCAGGATGGAGAGGGTTTCTTTGTTTTTTTTGTTTGGGTTTTTTTTTTTTTTTTTTTGGCTTTACTCTCCCCTATAGCTCTTACCTCCTATGGCCTACAAGTTTTCCCCTCCCTTCTTCCAGGTCCCTCTGGACTCACCACACTCGCTGGGTTAGCTGGAAGATCTTATGCATGTTTGAAGAGTGATGGTCCTGTGATGCAGCATAGGCCAAGGCAAATAATTTCCCTGTGGATCTCCTGGGCCTCACCCTTTATTTGAAGTGTGATAACTCTCCACCTCCGGCAGGGAGCCGGGCTGGAATTTGCCTTATTGGAAACTTATGAAAAATTTCTGAGCCAAGATGACCTTCCCTCTGGGGCCTGATTTCCCCAAATTACCTCCCAGCAGTCCTCCAAAGATACCCTCTAATATACTTAGGAGTAGCTGAGTGGGGAGAGGAAGGGAGCCCCACTGCCACTTTCTACTAACATGTCAGTTGGATCCTAGATTTCCCACCACCCCTTCCCATTTGATTCTTTCCGAAGTTTGTTTTTGCTTTAATTCCTACCTATACATCTCATGACCAGGAAAGAACAAGCAACTTGGAGGCTGTATTCTTCTTTATTATCTGGCTATCTTTCTGAGGACTGTACAGCTAGTTCTGTCCCACAAGTACTTGGTGTTAATTAAGTACATTAAATAGCATGTGCACTTCATTAGGACCTAGCCCTGGCAAATGAATGCTCTCTACCACAAAACCTCTGCTTTCAGGATTTTATTAAATGTATCTTTGGGGACAGTTCATCTACAAATATTGATTAAGGGCTCCTGGGACAACCCATTGGTCAGGGTGCTAAAAGCACCTGGGAAAAGTAAACAGGCCGCATTGTACTGGACTGGGGATTAGAAGCAATTGAATTACTAGCCTGCACCAAGCAGCCTGACTTAACACAGGTATTGGCAAATATGTGTGAGCCAAGTGTTTAGACCTTGATCTTTAGGTTCTCTGTTCTTTTCTTTCTGGGACAGTTTATTCTTGTCTCACTGGCTCTAATTAGTCATGTCTGCAGCTTCTGGTAGGGCAAGAACTAGTATCCAAACAGAAGATGATTCAGCTTGGGCAGGCCTTAGGTGTTCAAAGGTCACCATGTGCCTGGCAGTGGTTCAAGCCCAAGTCTAACATTGCTGTATCTATGGCAAAGGTAGTGATTTTGTCACAGTCATAATGACAATAATATTATGATAAAATGTTACAGCCAGCTTTATTCATTGTGCCTGCTCTAGACTTTATAATTTACAAAGCTCTTTTATGTTTATGGTCTCATTTCATCCTCGCAAACCCCTGAATAATGTGTTATTATATCCCTTTTGAAGAAAAGTAAAACAGCTCCTATTAGATATGTGGCTTGTCAGGCCAGAGATCAGTCTGACCCAAGTATCCTGATCCCCAGACCAGGGCTTTCTCCACTGTTTCCCCTTCACAACTGCTTTAGGATGGTACAGTTACCATAGTGGCACTGAAGGCAACATTGCAGAAAAAACCAGCAACAATGTAGCAAAATTCCCCAATGGTATATCCATAAACACAATTACTGCAAAGCTCATTGTGAGCCCCATCCAAGACAAGAAACTTCCTGGCTAGAATACCCAACCCAGAATAACTTCTTAGCAATGATATTTTTCTGTAGCAATTAAGACAACAGCCTTTGTTGCTGCAGCTACCCCAGTGCACAGGTGTGCCAACCAGGAGCAAGGTCTTCATGGTATGAACATTGTGTGACCATCCCAAGTCATACCTAGCATCACCTTGGTTCTAACTTTCATTCTGAAGTTAAAAAATTGTAGTTAGCAATTGGACTAAGGAAATGTTTTACTTTGACTTTTAAGATATCTTGGGTAGAGGTGAGGTGAAGCATGCTTGTTTTCCTTATAATTGCTGCTTTGCCATGGCAAATGTCACACTCAAGCATTTGTTCCTGGGGAGTGTTTTTAAATATTTCATTGCTTTTAAAGTATGGGTATCTTTGAGTGCCTTGCTTTCATGTATCTTTTCTATTTGAGGGTTATTGGTCAGTGGAAGCACAAAGGACATGTGACAGAAAAGTTTTCAACATGTCCCTAAGACTAGAAAATAGTGGAGTTGTCTATATTTGAACTAGCAAAAGAAAGTTGTTCTTGCTTGTAAGGGAGGGGAGGTATTTACTGAGGACAAGTTTAGTTTTTCGGTTTTGTATTTTCTTCTCTGTATATCTGGATTTGGATTTTGACAGGGAGGAGCCTAGGAGAGCAACTTTCTCCTGCAAGTTTCTCAGATCCAGGCTTGGTAACAGTGTCAATACTGTAGCACCCTCTCCACAACACAAACCCTACTATACTGGGAAGATAATCTCTCATGCACCTAACCCCCTGCTTGCCTAACTAAGAAGGTCTCTGGTGTTTTACATTGAATGTAGGTAAATTTTAATTACTTTTCCCTCCTAAATTGGTTATTTATAGAGATTTTGTTCAATCTTGAGCCATATGCATATGTGGCTACTGGCAGAGTTATGTTTTATTTCTGATGGTCTGGAAATATTTCATATTAGCCAATAAAGAAAAATACACCCAAACACCTTGTTTATTCCTCTACTTTCAAATAACAAGGTGCCTCATTTGGCTGGTGTGTCTTTGCTCAGTGAGTACAGCAAAGAAATGTGTTTCTTCTCAGTGGATCCATCACCAGGGACAGTAGGATCCACTGACTTGCCACCCAAGAGGTCTGGGTTATAGTCCAAGCTCTCCTTCTATATTTTTGAATTGCTTATGACATTTGTCTTTTTTTCTAGGCTACAGATCTACTAGAACTTCTTGTGTTCTAAAATAATACTTCTTAAAACAAGTTTCATGCCCTAAGAGAACTGTGCACGTATCTTGTGAGGTCTGCAAAATCTCTCAGAGATTGTGTGTATTTTCATTTTGACTATATTCTTTTAAAAAAATACAAGCATATTCTCTTCAGAACATCTGGATTATTATCTCTTAAAAGTACTACC